TGGGAGAACCGCGCCTTTGAACAGCGAAGAAGGGAAACCGGGTCCACCCAAAGCGTGTCCCCTACCATAGAGGCCGTGGCGCGCAGATACGGGCGAAGAACCGCAACTGGACACAAAACATGATGCATCCCCAGCCGAACCAACCAAGCATCAACTCAAGGACCCTTTCGGAAAGCAGCAGACCCATTCTTCACCATAAAAGAAGGAAAAGGTTGCAAACGAACGAAACGACCACTAGGACCGAAAGAGCAGAAACCCCTGCGCCGGAGGAGAGCATGAAGCTCCCCGACCCGACCCCCAGAGCAAACAGCGCTAGCCAACCCCCCCCCCCCCCCCCGCCAATTGCCCGTCAATGGGGCAACCTGCGAAAGGGCCGACGACCCCTATGAGAGTTCAACTGACGCTAAGAGCTACCACTGCGCCGGCCTCGAATCTGACACTACTGGCTTCCAACAAATGAAGATAGCCCAAGATCTGGCACGACCCGTGCTTGCCCCCCCCCGGAGAACCTATTAGTCCGACAAAGGCTGTCAACTAGACGAAGCCGCCTGCAGAAAAAGCACCACCGCAAACAGCAATGGACAAAAAGGTGATGAAAATCTAAGAGCCAGGGCCCAAGACGATTCGAAAATTTGGACAAGCACCGCCTGTCAGCATGCGAGGCGAGAAGCGAAGAACAGACACCGCCTCCCTCAGAAACGGCGCATACAACTTCACGAAAGCAGCCGGCGCCCAAGCTGCCGAAGCAAGCACACCGGACCCTGGCTCGGCACCCAGCTCCTCCACACTCAGCACGAGCCAGTCTAAAGACAGCTCCAGCAGGGAAAAGAAGCGGAAGACCGAAGGCAAGTGCCCACAGGTGCACAAATCCTCAGCCACCAGGGATGCCGAAAGGGAGGGAACCTGCACGTGAAGCCGCACCTGGCCGACATCATAAGGAAGGACGGGAGCGAACTAGCACACCTCGAGGTGCTCCAACTCGCCCCCCAGGAAAACCTGAATGACCATAGGCAACGCTTGCCATTCAAGTGCGCATTCCGACAGGACGAATGCCAAGCCCCTCCTCCCCCCCCCCCCAAAGAAGAAAAGGCAGTTTGCCAGCCAGGAAGACTCCGGCACCTTGTAACGCACCCATAAAGAAAAAAGAGGAGTCAAACTCAAAAAGAAGGCTTCATTATTGAGGCATAATCCGGGTCTCGCAGGAGGTAAGCCGCAAGGGACCTCCCACATCTTCCTTGGTGGGATGCAGAAGCCAAAAACCTCCAGGAGGGAATCGAAGAACCCAAGGGAACTCGGACCCGAACCCACTGGGAGGAGCCGAGCTCATAAAATCGTACAGGGAGGGGGAAAGGAAAACCCCTTCCCCCCCTGTAACAACAAACCCTGCTCCGAGGGTACCAAACACCTAAGCAAGGACAAGTGGAGCTCATGCCCCACCAAGCCTACTCCTCCCCAGCCCCAGAATCCTCCACGTCAAGACCCGGGGCCAAGCCGTCCTCCAAACCCCTCTGCCTTTGGAGAAAAATCAGAGATGAAGGGGGTCCGCTGGCATGGCCCAAAAGCTCCGGCAAGAGGACCAGGCTCTAATGCCTCCGCCGCCGATCTGGAAGGGGCAATTCCGGAAGCCACCCGAGTCTCACTACCAGTATAATTCAGCGGGGCAGCTGCGGGGCATCCAGAAAGGCAACCAACCTTGCACATTGCTGCAACTTAAACCATGCATGCAACGCTAAAGCTGTCTGCACCCAAATATCAGTCTCAGTAGACTGGGTGAATGGAGTACAAGCAAAGAACACTACTCGCAAGACTCCGGGTCATAGGTGTCACTGACCCAAACAAGTAGCAAGGTGGAGGCAGACAGTGAGTGTCACCCTGAGACAAGCGGACAGAGCAACCTTCAAACTTGCACAAGATGAGGTGGGACTCAAGAGGTCTCCTACATTGGACCATTGAGCCCCAATGGGGGTTTCCAGGGGCCCTTTGGCTGACTGCTAAGGAAAATCTCAGGCGAGGTACTGCTAACCGGTTATCCCAGAGCTAATAAGCAAACAATCTAAAAGCTGAACCCCTGCGACGTGTGCAAGCACGGGGACCTAGTGGAGGGTCACCAAAAACCTACCAGTGGTCCTACTGCCACACCTGGCAGACCCCTGCCAGGCAAAACAAAAAAATAAAACACAAAAACCCCGCAAAAGCATAACGTCTCCAGAACTGAACCGGCCGCTATGCATATATCAGACAGCTGCACAGTACCTCGCGCCCCAGCCAGTGACAAAACTACCTCCTAACCCAAGGGAAAACAGGAGTAAGAACCACCCCAGCTGAACCCCCAAGGGCAGGCAATCACAGAGCAGCGACAGAACCACACGGAGGTAGCTGCTCCTGAACGGCTCATGGAAGATAACCCTGAAGCCACAAAGGCAGTACTTACAGGGCACTTAGGGAAGGTGCCCCTAGGTGCATGCAGCCCCAGTACTCTTGGTTACGTCTGGCTCACACACCACCAAAACAGAGCAACAACACTGTACCGCAGCACTGCGCAAAGAGTGGAGCCAAAGCGATCGATCGTCACCAGCACAACAGCCTCTTGAACTGAGGAGAGTTGCCAGCGTGGAGGTCTGGGACCCCCGTCCCCCTCCCGGGGGGGGGGGGGGGGGGGGGGGGAGGCGCAGACGGATGTGCGGCGTTTGTGGTGACGTCATACTTGTTTCCGTGGTTCTGATTGGGGAGTTCTGTTGCTAGTTCGGCTTTTGGTTTGGAATTTATTTGATCAGCAGTAGTTTGTTTTGGAATTCCTACCTTTGTGGGTGCCTGACCTGGTAGATGGCAGACAAAGACTGCTTCCAATTACACAGGGGTGTCTTTAGGCATTGCTCCTTGTGCCTCTCTTGAGGGGGCCAGGCTCTGGCTCTGGTCCCCGGTAGGCCTAAACTCCTTCGATTGACTGTTGCCACAGTCTAATATGCACACATCAGCCCGGTATAGCTCCGGGGAGCCGAAGGGGCTCTCCACAGAAAATGAAGCAATATTTTGCAAGAACTTGTAGCAGAAAATCAACCAGCACGAGCACAGCCGTACCCAGCACGAGCACAGCCGTACCCAGCACGAGCACAGCCGTACCCAGCACGAGAACAGCCGTACCCAACACAAGAACAGCCGTACCCAGCACTGGTACAACAGCAGCCAGCACCAGCTCAAAATCAGCTGAAGTCACAGCAGTAGCGAGCACCAGCAAAGCTGATGCAAACATCTAAAAACATCTTGTATGGCGTGAACAGTTAGAACAGGTGATAAAATTAAGTGTGTACAGTGTTAAAATTAAGTGTGTACATAGTGTTAAAATTAAAGTTGCAGTAATTTTAGTGTACAATAGTTTTCATAAACTGTATTGTAGTACTCAACATACAGCAGAACTACTTAATCAACACAGTGTTAACTGTATAATACACTACAGTATGTATTTACTGTACAGCATTCACAACTCCATGAGACTTCAAGATGGACATAACTCCAACAATAAGGTAAATAACAAATGTAACACAGTATTTTTAGTAGGGTAATAATATATAGGTACAGTATATAATATGATAATGCATTTTTATTGTGTACAAGAAAAGAGACACACTGACGCAAACGCCTCCTGAAGGTCTCCTCTTGCAACACTCCAACGCACTGGGGTTGGTCCCATACAGTGCGTTGAATCGACGTTGTACTGTAATTGAATCAATAATTTGCACACCATAATTTTGAATACAGCAATGATTCACACATTTTATTACAGTATATAAATATATGACACTACACACTACTGATTAATATTACAGAAAAAAAAAATCAGAAACATTGAAATTATTAGGTAATTATATCTTTGCGACAACTCCCGCTGGACAGCTGTGGTGAAGCAGAACTCCTCCAATGCTTGCCGAGTCAGCGCCTCTTTTTTGCCAGACTTACCCCGCCCTATTGCGGCCAAATTACGCCACTTACGATTTTTTTATTATTTTTCCCGTGATCAGGGAATACAAATTCACAGGTTTATATATATATAAAAAAAAATAGAATTTTAATTTTTTATGCACCTTTGTCACCCAAGCCTTTGGGTGACAAAGGCCAAATAGCCAGGAGCAGCTTGAGGGTTAATATACCTCAGTGTGGTTCATTTTAGCGATGAACTATGCTTGTATCTATTCTTGTAATACCAAACATTTTCAGACTACCGAGGTCTTTGCTCTTAGTAGATTTTTCATCTTCATATAGGATCGTCATCTCAACATTTTTGCTCAAGCTTATAAGAACTATTAACATTATATACGTCTGGTACTTACAATTCAATATACGTCTGGTACTTACAATTCAATATACGTCTGGTACTTACAATTCAATATACGTCTGGTACTTACAATTCAATATACGTCTGGTACTTACAATTCAATATACGTCTGGTACTTACAATTCAATATACGTCTGGTACTTACAATTCAATATACGTCTGGTACTTACAATTCAATATACGTCTGGTACTTACAATTCAATATACATCTGGTACTTACAATTCAATATACGTCTGGTACTTACAATTCAATATACGTCTGGTACTTACAATTCAATATACATCTGGTACTTACAATTCAATATACGTCTGGTACTTACAATTCAATATACGTCTGGTACTTACAATTCAATATACGTCTGGTACTTACAATTCAATATACATCTGATACTTACAATTCAATATACGTCTGGTACTTACAATTCAATATACGTCTGGTACTTACAATTCAATATACATCTGGTACTTACAATTCAATATACGTCTGGTACTTACAATTCAATATACGTCTGGTACTTACAATTCAATATACGTCTGGTACTTACAATTCAATATACATCTGGTACTTACAATTCAATATACGTCTGGTACTTACAATTCAATATACGTCTGGTACTTACAATTCAATATACGTCTGGTACTTACAATTCAATATACGTCTGGTACTTACAATTCAAAGAATAATCAATGAGTGAAAGTGATGAGAGACTTGGAAGAGAGTTTTCAGGCCCCAAGGATCCCGACACGTCTGAGGAGTCGAGGTTGGTCTGTGATGCATCGCTCAAGGAGGCCTGCAATGCTGTCTGGAAATAAAAAGGAGATATTCATATTAAAAGATGTTTACTGTAGTTGTAAAACATATTTCATACAACCACGTACATGACAATCTCGGCGCACACATCTGGTGGGAATACAGCAGTGATAAAACCACAGCATTGGTTGTAATGAAACACCTTTTACTGGGTGAGCCTTAGTGGCTCCCTGAAGTTATCTCACTGAAATGGCCCCTAACTACTGGATCACATCAGCTGTGGAGTTCAGTTTGGTCTACTGAGTTACCAGAGCAAGAGTGCAGTGCACTCAGAGGCAAAAAAAGCAGGTGACACTCCGCCACCTCACCAGGAAGAGCATCCTGAACATCAGCAAACCAATATAGATCACCACTAGGCCCAAAGAAACTGAAGCCTCGCATCCCGCCGAACAAACTCGGCCAACAATACAGTATAAACAAATGAGTGAAAATTTCTCGGAACAAGCATGCACTCGTTTGCCCCGCCCCTCCCACTCATTTGGTGAAGAAGGGGTGCAGGGCTCTCACTGTCCACTGGCTCAAGCCCTCGGTTCTGGAGCCGATGCACTCTGAAAATTCTCCAACTGATGACCTGGAAGGAAAAGGGGGAGAAAGGGAGAATCAGGGAGCCACCAAGGCTCACCTAGAAACTGCCATTCCAGTACATTCAGTGCTGGTTTTCTGGTAGAAGCCCCTTGTAGTTAACCCCTGAAGTTAACTACCAAAAAACCAGCGTTGAATGTAATGAAACGCCATTTTCTGGGTGAGACCCGGAGGCTCCCCGGAGCTTTACCGGCTGATATGCTAATGTCAGACTTTGGCATCAGTCATGTGTATGGAGTTCTAGGGCCTACCGGGGACCACGGCCAGAACCTGGCCCCCTCAGAGAGGCAAGGGGAGCAATGGCCTATAGAAACCCCCGTGTGGTTGGAAGCATTCTATGTCTGCCATCGACCGGGTCAAGCATCCAGAAAGGTAAGCATTCCAAAACAAACCCCTATTCTGGTGAAAATTGCTACCTAAAGCCAAACTAGTGGATAGAACTCTTCAACAGAAAACAAGGAAACTAGTATGACGTCATACGTCACCGCGCCGCTGTCTGCGCAGCTCCCCCCTCCCCGGGAGGGGAAAGGGGGAGCCCCAGACCTCCCACGCCGGCTATCCACCCATCAGTTCTGAGGCTGGATGTCAAAACACGCGAAAAACCGCCGACCGGAGGGAGGGAGGGTTGCCGGGGAGCCTCCGGGTCTCACCCAGAAAATGGCGTTTCATTACATTCAACGCTGGTTTTCTGGGGGGAGCCCCGTCGGCTCCCCGGAGCTAACTACCCACAGAGGAAGGTCAAAGGGACAGAACCGGGAGGCGGACACCACGCACCCCCCAAGGAGGCGAGACAACCGGCAGCAAACGCCAACCCAAGGCGCCACAGCCCCGAAAAGTCCCGGGAACAACACGAGAACAACGAGCAGCAAGGCCCCTGCACGAACACCAAAAATCCATGCCCGAAAGATCGCAAGGCCACGTCGCCCAGACGGCAGCGAGAGCAGCGAAACCACGAACGCCATAGGCATGAGGGAAGAACACAGGCATGAGGGAAGAACACAGGCAGCTTAGCCGCAAGAACACGGCTGACCACCCGGGACACTATCACCCGCGAACTGGGAAGAACAGAACCGGATCAACGCAAAACGCGCTCCGGACTCAAACACCGTGGCACGCAAACAACAGTGGAGGGCCGCCACTGAACACAAAAAACGACACACCCCCGGCCCGACCAACGAAGCACCAACAAACCCTGGACCCCTCCAGAACGCAGCAGCCCTACCCCGCGCCAGAAAAGATGGAGACTGCTGCCGCCGAACAACCAAAACGCTAAAACCGAAGGAGCAAGAAAACTCAGCGACTCAACCCCAAGAGGCAAAGGCCAAAAGGAAAGAGCCGACGAAAAAACACACCGGAACCGAAGGGGCACTACCAACCGAGGAGAAGACAGAGCATGCTGACCAGAGACCAGGATGGTGCAGGCGGCGCACGAACAGGCCGGAGGTGAAACGACGCACAAGACAGCTGACTAACGGTGCAGAAGCAACACCAAGACCGAAAGCAAGCTGAAACAGCTCCGCCCGCGCCGCACGAAAAGAGGCGACAGTATGTGGCAAGACGACGGCCCCCAACCCCCACCAGAAAACCAAGCCGAGAGTAAACCAAGCTAACAAGAGTAACCACCTAAGAAGGGACAGGAAAAGGAAGGACCGCCAAAATACCCCATACTGCCGCCAAGAGAAGCACGCAGGTGGGACACCTACCACGAAGCCACCCGACCACCAACCGGAGGCGAGACCGCAAGGCAGAACATAAGCAGCCCCGACAAGGCCCCTTCGAGCCCAGGAAAAGGCGGAGCCGCGGGAAGATCTCGGGCGCGACCACCGAAACCCAGGCGGCACAAGGAGATGGAACGTCTGCCGAACAGGAAAACTCCCCAAAGCATGCAAGCCCGCCAGGAGTTCAGAAACGACGGGTCCGACGCGAGACATCGCAAGACCCCCAAAAAAACCAACCGGCAGGGCAAGCTAGGAAACCAAAGAAGGCGGAAGGGTCGCCGCCAGAACAGTACCCGAACCAAGGGGTACGAACAACTGCAATAGACCGAGACAAGGAAGCACATCACAGGACACAGGCTGACAAACGCCTAAGAACACACGCAGAACACCCCTGCTGCAGAGGAGGCAGGAAGAAAGAGCAGAAGCACAAAAACCCCAGGAGAACAACCAGGGGTGGACAATCAGGCAGGGACAGAAAAACCCCCACGCAATCCCCAGGCACAAAACGGCAGCAAAGTGCCACTCCACAACCGAACACAGGAACAAGGACACGCCACCGTGAAACACAGTACCAATGCACACGTGCAGCAGCAGCAACAGGCACCACTGCAACACGCAACATGTAAATAGCAACTCCCTTCTGCAAAGGCAGAGAACGGAGCAGGCAGACTCCAGACAGGGCCAACGGAGACACGACAAAACCCCACAGGCCCAGAAACCTGCACCAGGCGACCGACGGCGGAGAAACCCCGCTCGATACCTGCTGGATGAGGTACTGGGAGCTCTTTCACACCTCAAGCCCGGCCCAAGGCCAAGCTAGACCGGCCAGAGGGTGGCCCACCAGGCAGCTGCTAGGAGCAGTCCACCGGCCCACATACCCCCACAACCAGGACGGGCCGGAACTGCCATACGAAAACAGGCTAGTGTGCCCTGGAAGTCCACGGACGAACCAGCAAGAAGGCTTATGCTCGCAAGTAGGTCGTGTAACAAGCACAGACCTCTGATGGTAATACAGTGTTCCCCAAATGTGCCAATAGCACCACTGCACTCCACTGGTACTATCCCGCAAGTTCTACCAGATAGGCGGGACCCAAGAGCCAGAGCTCAAATCCTGCAAGCACAGCCAGGAGCCTTACCAGGTGAGTACAGAACCAACCCTACAACCCCCACACCCCACAACATTAAAAAGGATGGTCCCCTGAATGACTCCAGCATGGGTTGGACATGCACATGAGGGGGACAGGAAGGGTTGAAAAAGGAACAGTCACTGGTGTGCGAACGGTCTCAGTCGTACAAAAATACCTAAATAAAGACAGGTATATAAACAACTCCGCATCCAGCGCCCGGCCAAAAGACGCCAGACCGCAGAACTCACCTGGCGAACGGTGGCACGAACTTGACACGACTCAACCGTGCCCAGAAGAACCAGGGAGCACCGCCAGGTGAAGACGCCAGAGCCGGACCCTGCCGGACCCGCAGGAGAGCAGGGAGAGGCGAAGGAGGCGGTCCACACCCATGACACAGGGAAAACCGCGGTGTCCTCCCCACAACTGGGAACCAGGACACCCCCGGCACGAAGGGGCACATACCGCAGCCAGGGAGAAGAACGAGAGGCGAAGCACTGTAGCAAAAAGGGCGCAAAACACCAGCACTGAAACACCGCCCAGACCAAAACAAACTCCACGGCGCATGCGCATAACACGCTGGCCGAACCGCACACCCTCTCTGCGGGAAGGCGCCAGCCAGGACTACTGCACGAGAAAAGTAGCCAAAAAGAGGAAGCAGGAACAATAAAACCGGCCAAAGAAGCAAAGAGCCCAAAAAGGAGCCAAGGAGCCCAACCGGGCGACAAGGAGCCCAACCGGGCGACAAGTACGAGGAGCCGACAGACGTTCCAATAATGCGGGAAGTAGCGAAAAACCTTCCCGTACCCTCGAGAACACAGAAGCCAACACTAGTCCCGAAGGCACACGAAGGCGCAGGCGCACCCGAGATCAGAAGTCACACACAAACCCCATCGAACGGGGAAACATGACGAAAACACCGTCCCAAAAAGGGGTGGGAGGAAACATCCACCCACAGGACGGAACCAACCGACTCAAAGGCCAAGGAACCGAGCCCGGGGAGGGGCCGACGCCCAACAGCACATACGGTGAGTGGGGAGGAAAGACCCCACTCCGCGTAACCACAAGCCAGCCCCTAGAGAGGGATAAAAAACCCCACGGGGTCCAACGGGGCCAAGGCCCCCCAAGTCAGCCCCTCCCCAGCCCCGGGAACCTACACGACAGGCCCCAGGGGCCGTTCCCCCAGCCGTACCAGAAAACCGGGGCAGCCGTGAAAACACTAAGGAGGGAGCCGGTCGGCCGAGCGGACAGCACGCTGGACTTGTGATCCTGCGGTCGTGGGTTCGATCCCAGGCGCCGGCGAGAAACAATGGGCAGAGTTTCTTTCACCCTATGCCTTTGTTACCTAGCAGTAAAATAGGTACCTGGGTGTTAGTCAGCTGTCACGGGCTGCTTCCTGGGGGTGGAGGCCTAGTCGAGGACCGGGCCGCGGGGACACTAAAAAGCCCGGAAATCATCTCAAGATAACCTCAAGATAAGGAAGGGAGCCCACTGGCAGACTCATACAACACGGCTGGAGGAACAGGCTCAAATGCCCCCGTCACTACCCCGGAAGGGGAATTCCCCGA